CTGGAGAGACAATGCTTAATTTCTTTTTTTTTTTTAATTTATGAGGATTAAAGCAGAGAAAACGTTTTTTTGTGGGAGGTTTGAGAGATCAAACTCGGGACCTTGTGTTTGCGAGGTGGGCAGCTGCAGCACTGAGCTAAATCTCCAGCCCAAAAATGTTTAATTTCTTCTTCAGGGTAAATTTAATAACATGGAGGTCAAAAACCTTTCAGAAAACCGTCTCCTATGAAGGAGTCGGTAAGCCTGCACACATTTCTGAGGCTTGGTTACCAGATCTAGTCGCAGTGAATTCCATCCTCCACCTGTGAGCTAGGCGTTAGCGCCTCTTGTCGGTTCTTGCGGTCTGAGCTGTGACTCTAATCAGGGCTTTGATGTCTTTTGTCTCCTCAGCCGCAAAGAAAGCAAGGCGCCCTCTCTTTCCCAGCTAATTAGCACATCACTGGAAGGTGGGCAGCGGAGGACCCCCAGGAGTCAGGGCTGCAGCATATCTACCTGGCCCCCTGGAGCTCCTGTAACCCGGAGTCTTCACATTTCGCTGTATGCCCGTGATTACCCACCTTCTGGAACAAAGCCGGCAGCCTCTGTCATTTGTCCTGAAGGAAGCACCACAGCTAATTAACCATTTAATAGAGAACCGGCATTCCCTTTGGCTGAGGATCCAGGTAAGTAGCCTACTGGTACCTCCTTTACTCAGGGACAGTTCTGACTTGCTCTGACAAAACAGAAAAGGTTATTATTACCTTTAAAAATGTGCTAATCACATATCACATATTTTCATAAACATGAAACTGGTCGGACTGTGGCCTCAGTGCGTATCTGGCCGTCTCCCTTTCCCGCCTTCTAGCTGCAGTCTTGGGTGGCGCCGCACTGTCGTTTTGCCCGTCAGCCCAGCTAACCCTAAGGGGTTTTATCTTCTGTTGTGAAGGTAGAGGTGAAAAGGCCAGGAGAACTCTTCTCCTTTTACGCACCTGTGCTTGTGCGCCATCTTTACGCCACTGAACATATTTCTGCTGTGTACAATTCTATTACACGACAACCCTGCGTGCAAAGATTCTCGGGGTCTCCTTTCGTGGAGACCCTAATGGAAGAAGACCCACGACCGAAAGAGTGCGGCTGCATCTAAGGTGTCGGCTGTGCAGGCAGAGCCAGTGCCTCCTCCTCAGGGCAGAGCAGTCACCTGGCTAGTGCGCTTGGAAAGTCTAAAACCATCGCTGGCTTTCAGATCGCTCACGTGTGCTGTTTGTTTCATTGGCGCATTTTCCCCTTTCCCACGGCCATGATAACTACCTCACATGTATCTTCCTCTGCACATTGTTTTTTTGTTTGTTTCTTTTTCTTTTTGTTTTTTTGGACTGGGGATGGAACTCAGAACCTTGCTCTTGCCAGGCAGGCAGTGGCACCACTGAGCTAAATCCATGGCCCACATTTAATATTTTTAGCAAATCTATATAATTAATCTCAACCAAATGAAAAATAAAAGACTCAATAAATATTAGATGTCGACTCTTTCCAGCCCAGTTATCTTTCTATCTAGATTGATAAGCACAGTGTAGGGGAAGGCACACACAGAAAGAACGATACACTTCCTTCATTTATCATGAAAGTAGTTATAACTAAATACTTTGGTCCGGAGGCAAGCAAAAGAGCACTTCCTTAAAATAGCTTACTCACACATAGGCATAAATAACCAAAATAAGACTAAAAGTTGTTATACATGTTAGTAATTTACAAAGAAAGTATGCCTTTCCATTCACAGATTTGTTTGTTTGTTTTTGGTACCAGGGATTGAACTCAGGTCCTTGCACTTGCAAGACAAGCAGCAATACCACTGAGCTAAATCCCATGCCCTCCATTCACAGATTTGAAAGTAGGATGAACAAAAATAAATGGACATAAATTGATTGACATAAATTTGATTCACGTCAAATTTGCCTATTTACACCAGAGTGCTGGTAAAGAACTTTTCCACAGATATTCCAAATAATTTCTGTCTGTGTTGATTGTATAACAAAAGAGAGACTGATGTTTAAACTTTAAAAATGACACTCAAAAATATGTATATAGAGGGCCAGGAATTTAGCTCAGTGGTGCTGCTGCCTGCCTCGAAAGCATAAGGGCCCGAGTTTGATCCCCAGTACCAAAAAAACAACAAAAAAAATGTACATATATTGCTGGGTTGGTGATGCGTGCCTGTAATCCCAGCACTCAGGAGGCAGAAGCAGAAGGACTGCTGGAGTTCAAGGCTAACTTGAGCTACCTAGTGAGTTCAGGGCCAGCCTGAACTACAAAGTGAGACTGTGTCTCAAAAAAACCAAAACTAAAAAAAAATACACACACACACACACACACACACACACACACACACACTGCAGGCAGCACAAAATTTTGTAACAGTGACTTGTACAAAGTATTACAATATTTTATTTCTTTTCTTTTACTAATGGTCATAATATTTTTAAAGCTTTTCGTGCTTATGAGATTTTTAGATTTGTATTTATTGTCTTACCCAGTACGTTGCCCATCTTCATGTTCTTAGTTAAATCTGTTGATGCTCGTTTTTTTAGACTGAGCATCTGACACTCCTCTGACTCCGGATGTGTGTAGACAGATGCTGGGTCCCTTCCTGGTGAAGATAGGGTTCTTTAGCCTGAGTTAAGTAGGGATTTCCCACCTGAACCACTCACACACACAGACCCACAGACACACACACACACACACACACACACACAGACCAGAAATTCCTCAGGGCCCCAAGAAGCAGACTAGGATTTCCCCAGGGCCTGCTATGTGGAAGGCACTAATGCTAGCATGACTGTGTAGAGAAAAGCACATTCTCTAGTGAAGGCAGATTCATTCCCACACATCTCTGAGACCCAGTGGGCTATGTATGTTGTGCTAATAAGGGAATAGGGCTTTTTTTCAAGGTGTATGACATCTGTTCAAACAACAAACCAAAAGTATTAATACTTTATGGGTAAGTTTTCTCCTAATTTTATATATTCCCATTAATTTTCTGGAGGCATTAGTCTGTTTCCAAGCTATAATGAAATGCATATTGTGTATAAAAATATATTTATTTAGGTTACAGCTTTGGAGGTTCAAGAGCTGGTATCTGGTGGAACTGTGTCTGAGCCTCTCTGGCCATATTATATGATGGATGGCACTACAATGGACACATTCACTAAAGAGAGACACAGTGTGGTGAGACAGGAAGACAGAAAGCAAGGGAAACAAATGTTGATACTTTGCATCAACACTCTTAAGAGAACTATCCAGACTTCCATGAGAACTGTTGGGGTAAGCTGAGGCAAAACCAAGACCACTGAGTCAGGAGAAGTTAAAACAACAGTGGAATTTATTTCAGCCTAGGTGTAGATGGGCCAAGTTGAAAGGAGACTTTTATAGGGTGGTAAGGAGAAATTGTCAGGGAAGGACGGAAATTTTTGAGGCTTGGGAAGGGGGAGGTCTGTAAGGGTGTAGGATGTCTCTTGTAGTTGCTGGGCATCCAGGTCTGCAGGCATTGCTGGGTGCGGTGGGCACATGTTCCTCTCGAGCCTGTGTTTTGGCTTCCTGTTGTGCATTTCTTGGAGGTCTGAAGAGCCCGGTGGAGGTGCGAAGAGCTCAGTGCACAGCTATTGTGAAATGATTTTCTGTTCTGCCTGGGCAGGGGACCTGACTTCTCCTCTGTTTGTTATAAGAGAAAGAAAATCGGGAGTGGGGAAGTAGATTCTCATGGCTTCTTCGAGCGGGACTGGGGGCTGTGTGGGCATCCTGCAAGAGATGGGAAGGGGAGGGGTCTTTTGAAGGCGTGTCCTGAGATTCTTGAGGTACAGCAGTGTAGCAGGCAGTCAGGAGTAGCTGTCTCGTCATCGTGGACTGGATCTGTCCTTGGAGGAAGCCTGTAAGGTGTTTTGGAAACAAGATCCAAAGAGAAAGATTAAAATGACCAAGCCCACGGGGCCCAGGATGGACATGAGCCAGGACATCCAGCTGTTCCAGGAAAAGGTCCAGAAGCCCTTTGATTGGGCCTGTTCCTTAAGCCTGTTAGCCTGGTTCTCTAGGTTTTTTGCTGCTTCATGTATGATGCTAGATTGGTTGTTATAAAAACAGCACTCTTCTCCCATAAAAATGCAAAGCCTGCCCCTTTCTGCAGTTGATAAGCACCATCCTCATCTTTTCTGGAGAGTCACAACAGCTAAGGAGTCAAGTTCACTTTGTAAGGTCAAGATAGACCTGGATATTTCCTTTAGACTTCCTGAAACTGCTTCTATGGGGACTGGGATGCTGTGATGGAGGTGGTGAGGACCGCTACACCGGCCCCCACTCCTGTGGTGATGCCCAAGCCTATTAATAGAGGGATCGATCCTTGTAGTTCCTGGCAAGGGTGTATGTGAGGACTCTAAGAATCTGGTTTCCTGCCAGTTTGGGGGCTCAGGTATACCACTGCGCATGTTCTGGTCCAGTTAGTGGAGAGGCAGAGGTAAACTGAGGTGCCACATAGCCAGAAGATTCCTGAGGTGGCCAGGCAGAAGTGGCTGTGGATGGTGAAGTGGGAAGTCTTACAGGTGTTTTGCACTGCTGTCCAGAAACCTACAGAGAATGCTAGTGTGGCCCCTGTGAGGGATGGGCCTGACCTGGATGTGTCATTTGGCTTGCTCCCTGAGTTTTATTTTCCAAATGTAATAAGAAGAGTGTGGTGTCTAGGTGGAGTGTCTCCTCGCTGTTGGTCAGAAAGTTGGGCACGAGAAGGAATCAGGAAAGGCTGGGAATTGCCCCAGTTTACTGGAGGTGGGGGAAGGGCATGAATCTAGATCACTATAGGATTCTGAGTGACCTGTGCAAAAAGTGGAGGGTTTTCTATTGATGACAGTGACTGATGGTGGCCCTGATCACCTGTCCTTGTCTCTTCCATAGGAAGGGTAGGCTTTTTCAACTGGAGTAAGGTATGTATAGGGGCCTTGGGATGGAGATAGTGTAAGGATAAGATTGCAGTTCATTGGATCTAATGTGCCCAAGGGGATACCAGATGTCATTTGTCTGGTGATACAGACTTGGGCCTGGAATGTGAGTTGTATTTGGGAGGCTATTTGGTCCAGAGATGGGTTTACAATAGGGGCCTTTTTGAAGGCATGGAAGGTTGGGAGTTTGGGCCCTTCGTGTTGGAATTCTGGATAGTAATCAAAGAGAGCTGCTGTCCAGCCTGAGGGCAGGGGTGGCCGCATCATAGGTTGACGAGCTAGAGATGCAGAGCCAGAAATTCTAAGCCGGGGTAGAATTAGCCCTGTCTAACTAACATGGTGTGGATTAAGCCCAGGGTCTTTTGTAGTTACAGGGGGAGAGGAAAAATGTCTTGGGTGAATAGAAGGAAGAGGCAGGTGAGGAAAAGCATGGCAAACAGGCTGGCCTGGATAAGACAGAATGTTATGATGTGGATTTTAAGGCACATAGTGGGACGAGGATTAGCCCTCTCAGAAAGAGGAAGACAAAGGCAAGGAGTTCTCCTTTCATGTTGATCCAGTTGGGTGGGATGAGGCCCAACCTCACTGAGGTGAGGCCCGCAGTGAATGTGGGGCTTGGGGTATGTATGTGAGCAGGAAGGGAAGAGAACAGAACATGTGTGGAATGATCCTCAGGAAGGAGGTGTGGATAGGCAGAGGAAGAG